GCCGTGATGGCCAACCGTATGCATAGAGAAGGTCTTGAAGGACGTCCACGAAAAAATTTGGCATTTTTGACGTTGGAATCCGGATCAACCAAAAAATGATGTGGTATAGCACACGAAAATCATCGAAATCAGGGGTATGCTCGCTTCAGGGCTCGTTTGACCTTCCAAATGGGTTGGACAAGCAGTTATGGCCAACCGTATGCCTAGACAAGGTCTTGACGGATGTCCACAAAAAAATTTGGCATTTTTGATGTCGGAATCCGGATCAACCAAAAAATGGTGTGCTATAGCACACGAAAATCGTCGAAATGAGGGGTATGCAAGCTTCGGGGCTCGTTTGACCTTCCAAATGGGTCGGACAAGCCATGATGGCCAACCGTATGCATAGACAAGGTCTTGACGGACGTCCACGAAAAAAATTGGCATTTTTGACGTCGGAATCTGGATCACCCAAAAAATCGTGTGCTATTATTGCACACGAAAATCATCGAAATGAGGGGTATGCTCGCTTCGGGGCTCGTTTGACCTTCCAAATGGGTCGGACAAGCCGTGATGGCTAACCGTATGCATAGACAAGGTCTTGACGGACGTCCACGAAAAAATTTGGCATTTTTGACGTTGGAATCCGGATCAACCAAAAAAAGGTGTGCTATAGCACACGAAAATCGTTGAAATGAGGGGTATGCTCGCTTCGAGGCACGTTTGACCTTCCAAATGGGTCGGACAAGCCATGATGGCCAACCGTATGCATAGAAAAGGTCTTGACGGACGTCCACGAAAAAATTGGCATTTTCGACGTCGAAATCCAGATTACCCAAAAAATCGTGTGCTATAGCACACTAAAATTGTCGAAATGAGGGGTATGCTCGCTTGGGGGCTCGTTTGACCTTCCAAATGGGTTGGACAAGCCATGATGGCCAACCGTATGCATTGACAAGGTCTTGAAGGACGTCCACGAAAAAATTTGGAATTTTTGACGTCGGAATCCGAATCACCCAAAAAATCGTGTGCTATAGCACACGAAAATCTTCGAAATGAGGGGTATGCTCGCTTCGGGGCTCGTTTGACCTTCCAAATGGGTCGGACAAGCCGTGATGGCCAACCGTATGCATAGACAAGGTCTTGACGGACGTCCACGAAATAAATTGGCATTTTTGACATCGGATTCCGGATCACCCAAAAAATTGTGTGCTATAGCACACAAAAATCGTCGAAATGGAAGTATGCTCACTTCGGGGCTCGTTTGACCTTCCAAATGGGTTGGACAAGCCGTGATGGCCAACCGTATGCATAGACAAGGTCTTGACGGAGGTCCACGAAAAATTTTGGCATTCTTGACATCAAAATCCGGATCACCCAAAAAATGGTGTGCTATAGCACACGAAAATCATCGAAATGAGGGGTATGCTCGCTTCGGGGCTCGTTTGACCTTCCAAATGGGTCGGACAAGCCGTGATGGCCAATCGTATGCATAGAATAGGTCTTGACGGACGTACACGAAAAAAATTGACATTTTTGACGTTAAAGGAAAATTAGTAAAATATGTTTTTGTCTGCTTTGAGTCTCATTTTAACTTGAAAATGAACCATTTTCCCCTGCCGGACGAACTTCCATTTCTAAGGTTTTAACGGATGTTCATGAAATTTCAGTCATTTTATTTTAGAATTTCCGGATAAAAAAATATATAGGCTGGAATTTGTCTTTGTCTGTTTTGAGGCTCGTTTGAACTCGAAAATGCACCATTTCCCCCCGCGGAACGAACTGGTTCCATTTTTAAGGATCACTAACAATTCATGGACTATAGCACAGGAAAATTGACAAAATAAGAAATTTACCTACTCTGAGCTCGTTTGACTTGAAAAATGGTCGTTTTGAATGTGGTTCCCTACTCTCTAGTGAAATTAAAATAATGAAATGCAAATAGGGGATAGAGGCGAAGATCAAGATGGTGAAAGGTGCATCAGGGAAGACAACAAAATGAAAAGAAAAAATAGGGACCCACAAATATCCATTACATCTAAATAAGAAAATCTATATATTTTTTAAAGAGGTAATATATTAAGAAAAACTATTAATTGAATATTGACCAATAAAAAAGATCAATGTATAATTTTATAAAATTCAACCTTTTTTCTCCTTTTTCAAATGCTTTTAGGAGACATATTCACTCTCTTTGCCATGTCTCAGCTTAAAAATGTTTAAATCACTTAAAATTATTAAGAGGATATTTAACCGTTTGTGTAGCTTAAGTGATAAAGCAAAATGTATTGTCAAATTTCTGAGGAATTTTTATATATTTTCTCTTCATTTTAAATGATAATAGGTAAATATAGCCTTTTTGCTTTTGCAGAACTCTCCTAAAACGTATGGTTGAGAATAGAATAATAGTTTTGAAAAATTATACTTTCACATTTTTGGGTTTTGAAAAATTAATTATATTCATTTTTGAGCACAAAAAAATGTCAAAAACACATTCATTTTAAACTAGAGGGAGTAATATTTTTTAATCTAATTATCTTAAAATATATCGACATATCTTTGTTTATCTTCTTAAATAGTCCTATACAAAAATTAAAATTAAAAAAATAAAGAAAGAAACATCAGTTTTCAAACAAAAAACAAAAGAAAAATATCAAACAAAATTGGAACATAAGGTTTCAATTGATATAACTCACCTTCCTTTTTATAAATCTAAAAAGAATAACTTATTTTTATATTTAATAACAATTAAATTTTAAAATATTCACTTATTCTTGACATATTTAAAATTCGAAGAACCCAACAGATAATCTAAATAGTAATAAAAGAGGATATTAAATGCTTTATTATATAAGAGACTCACAAAAATCTCTAAATACTCCTATGAATAATTTATATCATACAATTACAAATAGGAACAACTAATCTTAGATCTAAATTTTAGAAGTTCTTTTCCTTTTTAAAATTGATGCTAAATTAAATTACATCATAAAATCAAATAATAATAATAATAATAATAAATAATAATAATAATAATATCATTAATGTCATCCTTCCCCCCTCACACTTAAATTCTAGAGAAGAGTAAATTAATTTCCTAATTATTCCTCTCCATCTTTGCTAATTAACAAAATCTAGGGTTTATAATTTCACCACAACTACTGTTTGTTTATCTCCCATTTTTTGAATTCTTCTTATCTTCTAACAGGCTAAAATTCAAGGTATGTTTTTTTTTTCTTTTTAGGTTTATTTATGCATTTTATTCTTTTTTGAAGGCAACGGTTGATTTTGTTTTTTAATTGTGTTAAAGATTGAAATTTGTATGTTTTTATGCATTTTGCATTTTAATTTTTTTTCGTTGAAAATAAATCTAATGTTTGTTCGTTCAGTTTCAGTATTTCGCAAGTAGTTATTTTGCTTCTGGAATAAATAGACCTTACCTTCAAACTTAATAGAATTACTAAAAGATGTCAAAGAATTTATTTTTTTTAAGTTTGTTTTTCTAGTATTCATATTCTAATTTATTTATAGTTGATTTTTTTATTTAATTATTCCCTTTTCAATTTCTAATACATCCAACTCTTGGAATACATTTTCAGATTTATCATTCTTTTGTTTTTCTAAAATAATATCAAGTGTTTCTAATAAACAACTAAAAAAACAATATCAGTATATGAAATATATTTCAAAAGTAACGAATTCTAGATGCAAAATATAAGAAAGAATAATGACATATGATTCATTAGTTGATAACTAGATGTTAGTTTTCATAGCTTCAATAAACTTGATGCAATGATTGGAATTTTGAAGAGAAAAAAAAGGCATAATGCATAAATTTGCCCTTTGACTTGGTCGTGTTTCACATTTATGTCCTTCAATTTGAGTGTGCACAAGTGAACATTTTAACTTTGTACAAAATTGAATTAGTAGACACATGCATCATGAGTCATAAGGGACATAATACACATAGAACACCGGTAGGATGAAAATTGCCGCCACGTAGGTCACGTCTGTTGGTAGAGCTTTCACATCTACGCATAAAATCCATTTTGCCCTTCCATTTTGTTCTTAAGGTAGTTGAATCGGAATCCGTGTGATTGTCTGAAAGTAGTTTCAAATATTCTTTGCTCTCCAGTTAGTATACTTCCACTAAAAATGGAAGATGCCTTGGTAGTTTATTTCTAGCTCTTCAGCTCCGCTGGTGAATCAGTAAGCATACTTTGAGTTTGTTTTCTCATAGCACCTGATATCATATAAAAAGATAAACAATCGGCAAAAGTGGCATCACAGTATCTTAGGTCTAGTAAACTTATTATTTATCTTGACTGCATTGGAGGAGAAATACTCGTGTCTTGTTTAATCTCGTTTTAGAATTGCATGCATATATGAAGAATTGTAGTACTTGATGATTTGCAGTCATCTTCAGTTTTTTCCCGCTTCTTGTTGGTTCAAAAACCTCGGGTGTACATTTTCCTATTGCAATATTTTGATGAGATAGTTCCGTGACTTGGGCCTTGTGTTATTCGTTAATTGTACTGTCTGCTGTTCATTATTGGATTCGATTAAGTACTTTCAGATATTAATTTTCTTCAACAATCATAACAAAATTACATGTTCATATTCATGTAAATCTGGTTTAAATATTATCAATTTCTTCCTTAACTTATCACTTTGGCACATTTCTGTTGCTTTTTTATGTTTATTATTCGCCCAGCAATTTTGTCGCACATGTGCCTAAAATTTCCAAATTGTTCTCAGCTCTGGACAGGATAAAGTCGCTGTGTCTTATGGCATGCATTTGTTGCTTTGGGCAGTCACATGGGTATCAGATATGCTTTTCTGAGTTGTCGTTAGGATTGTCCCTTATTTAGAGGCTTTAGTTGTACTGCTCTGCCTTTTCGCGATACTAGAGAGCTGATGGAGAAATGACGTAATACAGCTATCCTGCAACTTGGACACATGATAAAAGAATTCCTTCCTACATTTTTGTTCTTTTCAGTCTAGAGACATAATTCACCATGAAAAATAAACTTAGGTGGCGAAAAGAAGGGAAGATAGAAAGAGGAATTCGGAAGCAATTCCTTTTATGCGAATCCTACTTAGCCTTGGATATTAACCAACAACATGTCCAATGTAATTTCATAAGCAGGCTTTGAGGAGGGTAAGATGTACCTCTACCTTTCTGCGGTATAAAGGTTGTTTCCAGTAGACCTTGGCTCAAAAGAAAAGATTTTGAAGTAACCATCCATGAAGTTATAATCGTTTTCTCCTAGTAATATTTACTTGTCTGTTCCTAATTTTTTTTTTAATCATCATATTCGGCTTATTTGATGTTTATGCCAGTTTAGTCTAATTTCTTATGAACCTTCACATGTTTACCTGTCAAAAAGGTCTAATTCGTAATCTCTCTATATGCGATTAACGGTTACAGCCATAGGAACGATACGTTATTATCTTAATAGTTATTCCAAGTCAATAAGAGCTGATCTTTTCCAGGCAAGTACTACAAAAGACTGGTAGAAAAGAAGTTTAGATACTCGGCAGCAACGTCTAAGAATGAGCCAAGAAGCTATTCAAGGGAACAGCTCCTACGCTGCAGTAACTCTTCCTGTCAAGCGGGGGAGAGGAAGACCGCGTAAGGATAGCAACCTAAAGCGTGTAAGAACTGCTCATTTTCCACCAGGGATTAAACAAACAAAAGAGATCCGACCCCAACAAGTAGATACAGTTAATGTTGCAAATGATGCAATGATAGGTCAGGCTGTTACAGGTGTTGTCGAAACTGCATTTGATGCTGGTTATTTTCTGAATATTAGGATTGGCGACTTAAATTTCAGGGGTGTTGTTTTTAAGCCGGGGCATTTTGATCCTGTCACGGAAGAAAATGACGTGGCACCACATGTTCCGATGATTATAAGGAATGAGATTCATGTACCCATTAGAAACCAAATTCAGGTACATGGCCATGATCGGAGGCCTCAGCTAAGTTTATCGGCTCCAACAACAGCTCCTCCTTCTGGCCATTTGGTGGGAGCCCACAGTGCTGTTGTTCCTGCTGTCCTTCAACCTGTCAACCCAACCAATGGATTTCCACCTACTACACAAGCTCTTCCAGATTCATCCCAAGCTGCTCATATGACAGTTGCTCTAAAGGAGAGAAGTTTGCAAACTGTTGTTCCCTTGGCTACGTTGCCATCCGATGGATCACTTATTGAAATGACCAATGGCGTTGAGGCGTCTCATAAGATGTCAGCAGGGAACTTGAATGCGGTCGTGGAACGAGATATTGGTGACATGAATGAGCCTCCTCCTATAGAACCAAGCGATTCTATGAATTCGCCTCTTCCCATCTCTGTTTCGAAACCATTGATGAGTTACGGGATTGGCAGGATGACAGAGCTTTTACAGGTAAACTGTGATAACTTATCCTGCTTATTTCAAATTCTAAAATATTGTGCATCCATTCTGTGTAAATCCTGAAAGAATTGTGATTTCCCGAGTGAAGGCGGTGCAGGAAAATCTGATGGAGAACCAGGCACTTCGTGGTGAAGAGCTTATTAGGCCGATCAATCCAAAAACGGATGGTTAAAGAGAGGAAACAAGTATGTTATCTGATGTCTCGCATCCCTTAGCTTGGGAAGACCTCGATAACACACATACGGATGTGGTTCAATTGCTTCTGAAGTTGTACCTTGTCTTTTCCATGGAATGACAGATCCGGGGCGAAAAAAGACCAGAAAATGGGCAAGTGTTGGGAATCAAAAGCTCTTCTGTTTAGCATTTAGAGGTGTCATTCTTTTGTTACTTTCTTAATTTGCTCTTAAGGTGATGTGATGAAGAAATTGTCTAAAATGTGCTACTTCCATTGTGTTTGAGTACAAGCCTTGTAGAGAATATTTTTCGGGAAACTAAGTCGTTTTTCTTAGAGAAAATAGTTCATCCTCCTAACCTATGCCCAGATTTCTCACTTCACACTTCAATTTTACGGGGTTTTATCACCCATCGAACTTTTTAAAATTAAATTTGTTACACCCTTGAAAAGCCATAACAATATTTATGTGAAATCAGAATTGTACTCATTTGATAGGTGAAAATTTTATTTAAAACTTTTTATTTATTTTAGAACTTTGTTTAACGACAAAAGGTCAAAAATAGTACATGTGTGTGTCTTGTATCTTCATATATGAAACTTTATGATTAAATGTTGGTAGGTAGTCGTTTGAAACTGAAAACACTGGGTTAGCTGAGTGCAATTTTGGGATTTGAAAAATGCCAAAACTCCATGAAAATTGTATACAAGTGTAAATATAATACTCCCTTCGTCCTAATTTAAGTGTCTCACGGAGTATTTATTAGAAATAAATTGACACTTTTGAATCTTGTACTTCCAATATAAAGACGCATGTACTTTCAATCTCCTAGTCTTATTTCGTAGAATGTTGAAATTAAAACACTGACTAAATATAGGAAAATACACAAAAAAGAAAGTAAAACACTTAAATTGGGACAAAGGGAGTAGTAATTATTACATTGTTTAAGATGATCAAACTTTTGATGGGATTTTCAACCAATATTTATTCAACTTCTGTTCAAATCACTTGACATTGTCAAATTTACAGTATACCAGTACTTATTTTACAACATATAGGCTTCAACAACAGCAAAGAAATGGAACAAATTTGTGGTTATATTAACTGCAGATTGTTTCAGGATCTATAAAGTTTTTCAGACAGAACAAATCAACAAAACTACTACTATAATATTTACACTTCAATTCCAAGTCTGCTGACATACATGTTCATTAGCATTCTCTCTTTTTCCCTATGGCTTTCGGTATAAATCCAACACAATTGTCACACTAACCTGTAAAGCATTGGAACAACCATCCTTGTACATACCTTACTACAGTAAGATAGCTGGCCATAAAAATCATTGTCAACAACTTTGTGGCCTGTAGTATTTTGGAGGCATTGATGGGCACTTTTCATTCATATGGGCGTATACATCCATTGTATTGTATCCAGGCAATTCCATCCGGTACTTCCCTAGAATTTGACAGAAAGGAAGCTTCACTGTGTCATCCGCATTGCACCACATAGGCAACCGATTCGTGTTGTTTTCAAAAAACTTCAGTGAGTAAGCATCTTTTATCTGCACTTAGAAACAACAAGTGAGAACTTAAAACCATTACCTCATGAAAGCATGGACTGCAGACCCTACCAGTTTATTAGTATCTCAATGAAATTTGATATAAGACTCTATATGCCTTTGAGTTAGATGCAGCAAAAAGAAAAGAAAAAGCCCCCAACCCTGAAAATGGAACTTCAAAATCCATCTAAAAAACTCACCGTGAATTCTGTAACCTGAATTGAACTTGCAAGTGGACCAAATAGTCCTGCTTCCTTGTACATTTCAAGAACAAAAGCAATACAAGATGTTGATTTGCCATCACTATAAACCCAGTCATCCTGTTCTGGGATAGTCAACAATTTGGCAAAAGATGACCCACGCTTTTCAATTTCGACAAGAATATCAGGAAGATCAAGGCCCTGCATGGACACAAAATTCAGATCCTCATTCAACACTAGTTGTCGATCATATCAGATGTACGGAACAAGCCTGCACTCTCTAGGATTTTTTCTCGAGAATTTTGAAAGCATGCTTTTAACCAACCCTTGTGCATTTTCAGGAAAAACTATAGTTATGTTAATGAGCTTTCTTCATTTCATAGTAATTTGCTCGACTTAATTAGACTAGTTACTTAATGGAGGCATGCATTATCTTTAGATGAACAGCTTCTATGAGTATCTTTGTCCAACTTTTATCTCAATAAATAGCAGCTCACTAATTAAAGAAAACAGATATGACCCGAGTTCCAAGTCGCTTGTTTAAGGCTTCATTCCACATGTTAGCTGCATATGCGGGCTGTAAGTGATTCCAAACAGTCATGACAGAAGCAACCTGTACCAAGTAACATATCAACAACAAATTTAAGCAGGTGAAATTTCACAAATGCACCAAATTGAAGAGGCCTAAAGCAATACAGTAGCACTTTTTCCATGCCACATATTATACACTCATTATTCTTCTCATGTTCAACCTTCTTTCATACATCTCAAAAGTAATTAAAAGTGTGAGCTTCATCATATGATATTTTGATGTTCTTGCACAAAAGACCATCCGCATAACGGTGCATAAGTTTATATTTTGAATCCTCACTGACCATTGGCAGTTCAGAGTCCGATAATATTTCCACGAAACCAACTGCTGATACCAATTCATCTCAGTCAAAATATGGCATGAACCTTCTGATAAACTTTAAGCTATCATAAGCTAATAAGTGGAAATCGGTCACTTGGACGCTATACAATTTGAATGGAAGAAAATTATCATGCAAAGATCTTGTGTGTTATTGGAATCTCTTATATGTAAAAATAAGATCTCTTCTAAAAAAACATAAAACTAAAATCAAAACCAATTCAACATATTGTTCAACACATCAAAACCTGACCAGCTCGACAGTCTTCTACGAAAAAGCACATGCATGCTAATCACTTATTTCAGTTCACAGTTCACACGTCTAGAATCTTAAATTCACCAGTCAGTAACAAACTTTATCTGAAAGAACATAGGTCAATGCTTGAGCCAAAGCAGAAAAACTGAATAAAGCGTCAAATGAAAAGAATTACAAAGTAAAAGGATTATTAAAAGGTTATGGAAGGAAACACTTCAAAGCAACAGAAAAATTGGCACAACTACAATCAGACAGAAGAGATGGTGCATACCAGATGAGCATCCAAGGGAGAGGGATAATTTCCGTCAATAGTATCTATCCAGCTAAATATTAGGTTATGGAAACCATATGGTTTGCCTTCCATGCTTTGTGCATATTCCCAAGCAGCAGTCTGATTAAACTTGGCACGGAGATCAGGGTGCAAAGGCAGCAATGCAATATGTGGATTGGAATCATCTTTTGTCAGTTCATACTCCCACCACTCCTCCCAGGGTAAAATAGCAATTATATCTTCTCCCTGAAAGTAGATACACAAACAAGTTGGTTCATAATTTAACTGTAATCATGTCTATCCACTTTTAAGGGATCGTTTCGTATGTTGGACAAGCATAGTCATAGATAGTCTTGGGATAGAAATTTAGTACTGTCTTATCCCTTGTTTGGTTACTAATCCTTGGATAAGTTTACCAAGGATAGTAATTAGAGTGTGGAGTAATAGTACTGGGATAAAAAAATAAAATGACAAAAATACCCTGAGGTCCCTCAAACCCTTTCTCTACTAAGGTGGAGGATATTTTTGCAAACAAAATTATGCAATGCATGTTAGAAATTACGGAATGCGTGTTATTTCTAGTACAACAAATCAAATAGTCAATGAGAAATAAAACCAGGATAACCAATCCCGGCATAACTTGTCTTCAAACCAAATGACCCCTAAAAGTTGTCTTATTTGGTTCAACCCCACACCCAACCTCCCCTGGTATTTTTGTTCAACCACTACCACACAGGCAGACACTACCTCAATCTACACAATTTGGAATACAGTGTATTGACTACTTCATCTGATTAAAGATAAGGCAACTTTTGTACGGGGATCACGGCATTTGATATAATAGCAATACAACATGGCATTTGAACTCAGCACTGTCACATAGTTGTACTAATGCTCAAAGTTGTATACTTCGTATATGCATCACTAGGCAGTCACACTCTGAAACTACCCATACTACACTTCCCTCTGAAGTTATTCAAATTGATTTGGGGTATCAGGTAATGTCTACTGCACCTGCATCAAGGTGCTTATTTTCACTAGCTACGGAATCAATTAAACACATTAAATCTAACGAGCCATATCTCCCAGTTATCATTCTTAAAAGCTAATTAGCTATAAGATAGGTTGCTAACTACACCTTAAGGATATCAGAACCAAGTAGAAGAAAGGAGAATGACAGCAGCAAAGAAGAGTTGAATTCTAGCTACATAATAACAATTAAATTTTGTAAAAACAAAAAACTAGTGACAGAAGCTAGTGAGAAAAAAAGCTTCTAGACGATTTTTCTCTTCTTTTTTTCCCTGTACTTCAGAACGCGACTAAGAAGCTTGGAGAAAAAGAAGAAGTTTTAGACTCCTGAAAATTTTCCTCTTTTTTTCCCTTTAACTCTGCTGAAATAATTATTTTTTTCTCGCAACTATTTTTTAGAACAGAACGACTCCCAAAGCTCAATTATGCTAACTCTGTAATGTTCGGTGGAAATAAACTGATATCCTTTGCATCTCATGTAGGAAAAAGTAAAAATCTCAAATGCATAAAAAGAAGAAGAGGAGCATGTTTCATCTTCCACTTGATGAACTCCATAATCTAAATGCATGCCACAGTTGATATATGAAAGTACAAATATAATAAAGAAAGAATCTTATGAAATGTAATATATGTATTTTTGTAAACGGAGGCAAAAATTTCCACCTTACTAGTTACTATGATCCATCAAAAAGTCGAAAATAATATCTTAAACAAGAGACTGCAACTTCTCTCAGAGAAGCCAAACCATACATCATGATGAAGTCTAACCAAAAGCAACATCTTGCAACAATCAGATGCTATATGTGGATTATTTTAGACATACACTGAAAGGGACACTTTTGTCCCTTTCAATTGTTTGATGCATACTGGTCACTAGAATGATTATTGAGCACGTAATAGAAGTCCATGAAACACATAACTATAAGTTAGTCTTTGCTCCAAAGAAAGAAAAAGCAATGGAAATAGTTGCATCATGTGAAGGCCAAAAAACATGTTAATGTACCTTATCATTCTCATGTCCAGATTCTCCAACCCACAGCTTTCCTTCAGCATCCCTCAAGCAAATAGCACTATGGCCAGCATAAGTTCCAGATACCCATTTTTCTAATGTTTCAAAACCACCCCAACGCCCTC